GAGTCTTTCTCAGTTGTCATTCCTGGCTCAATGATGAATCTGCATACCGTAACAAACTAGAGTCTTTGATCCTTCTGGAAATGAAACTCAGTATCGCAACGCACGTCAGTCTGATCATGCAGGATTTCCATGTCACAGCTGCCGCTTCATTGAGAGTCCTATATCTGACATCATCCATAGGAATTGCTCCTCGCTGATCACCCGCCCTCCTCGCACACAACTCTGAGCATCCGGTACGTTGAACCCCTCAACCTGGCGCTCCAATCTACTATGATGACTGTTTTGAAATAATATACGCTGGAAATTACCGGCAGAGGCTTTCAAGCCGTGGAAGATAACAAAATGGCTATATCTGATCCTTCAATTCCACCCACAACTCTTACAAGTCAAGGTCTTTTGAGGAAGTTGGCTGACTTATGTTCGAAGACAGGTATCGGAAGGTAGGGTTGGTACTCCCACCTCCAAAACAAAGTGGCTTCCTTGATGAATGGCACTGGGCTCCGACCACGGCTACAAAACCGCTGGATTTGATGGAAATGCCCCATTGTGGCAGGCCTAGAAAACCTCGCCCACTGATTTGCCGCATCTCCTTACCAATCATATACGTCTTTCGCAACTCGAACTGATTGTCCCGATCTCGAACAGGAGAGCTGGAAGTATACTGGGCGGTTGAGTAGGTCTTTTTTCCCCTTCACGCCCGCCTTTTCCATGATGAACTTTCTAGATGACGAGTCTTATCCAGTACTCTGATGCAGATAAACTCAAACAACCATTCATGCATTTCCTGACCTTCGTCTCTACCTACCGCCTTCTCCCACGTCTTGATGGTGTAATGCTAACAATCGAGTCTTCGTCAGATCAGCTGTTGCATTACAAGTATGTTCACGGCTCTAGACAACCTCTACCCTCCTTCATATGATGAATCGACACATTCCAAAAGACAAGCATATGTCCAAGTCAACCCAGGTTGATGAAGACGAGACTGGTCCAGCCTGACTCGTATCCACACCAACATTCTACTCCTCGATCCGTTCGGTGTGGTTCTAACAGAGATTTTGGCCAGGTTTGCGTGGATAGATCTTTCTCATGTGAGTTACATATTCTTTTCTCCAGTGCTTTGTATCATGATGATTTATTCTACAATTCACGACGGTCAACGTAGCTTATGTTTTGACGACCACCGCCTGTGACAAGGCTTAGATCTGAATATTTGCAATTTCCATGGTGTCCATGTTTGCAAGCATGGACTCGGCTGACTTTTCCATATGCAGAATATCACTTAGTAGCTAGGTGTCTGCGACAAATACAATATGTGATCACCTCTTTTCTCTCTTTTTCGCATTATCCTAGATTGGCGGATTTCACTTTACTATCTCTTATTTTTAATTTCACTCTGATTTGCCCTCGTTTTACTTTTGCCCTGCTCTCACTTCAACTCGGTCCCTCTATGTTAGCATCAGCATGGGCTCCAGAACAGGGACTCGACCCAAGAGGGTCTACTCAAAGGCGAGGCTTCAGCGTGCCCTCGACGTCTATCATCGGGCTTCCCTACGTCTGATATCCACACGCCATACTCAGGAACGTCATCTTCGCGAGGATTACCAATTCCGACGGGTCAACTCCGGCTGGAACTTTGCGCAAGCTATATCATGGTATGATGATGATTCGTCTGATGAATACTGTCCCACCACAGCCAAAAAACGTCGGCTTCCAGTTCGCAAAATCCCAAAAGCGAAACGAATCAAACATGAAGCTAGGCCAACAAACCCAGCATCCTCCCCGGAAGCTCGCGATGGGTCTTGCCGATCTCTAGTCACGCTCAAGCTCACATCCAGTGCTGGCAGAGCCCTGCTAAGTGACATTGCCAACAAAGAAGGCACTGGTTCTGGGACCAGGTCAGGTGCAGATGGTGACTTGAGAGAAGGAGTTTCTAAGGGTAGTGTACAACCCGGTCCCGTGTGGGACGGGATTACCTTAGAAACTCGAGACCAAGAGAGTGATAAAATTTGTGGAGGAACAAATCGCAGCGGTTTCAAGAGAAATAGGAATGTTTCGTTAAGATCTGAGGGACCGACAGAATTCAAGAATCCCAGCAAGGTCTGCTATGCGAATACCAGCCGTTTAACTTGCGAACAAGGTCAAATTGAAGCTGCAGCTCCTGTTGAGCGCAGCCTTCCAAAGGAGGCAAGGACTGGAGATACCTTGGTCAACCGGCCCACCGCCACCTCTCACTGCCCTTCTGCTCCTGCTCAGCCAACGCCGATCCAAATTATTCGAGCAGCAGCTGTAGAGATCCAACAAGCTCGGGACATCCTGGCCGGGCTTTCTAGGGAAAACCCAATTGTCCTAGATTCGCCTCGATCTTCGCCAGAAGCATCTCCGCAGAACGAAGAATCCACGTTTCGCACCTTCACAATAAGTACTCCGTGGGCTCATCCGATCAATTTCAAGTATCTTGAATCGTTGAATAAGCCATGCCACTTTTGTGAGGACTTCAGATATGGGATCTTTGGATATGGTGTGATCTCTGTCGAGGTCATCCAATTCATGGAACAGCCAGAGCTTCAAGAGATGGGCAATGGGCACCGAGCTAAGGGCAAAGAAGCAACACGCATGTGCGTCAACTGTTCTTTAAAGCGACTCCATATTTCTCGATGCAAAGTCCATTCAATGCGTCGTTTCGCACATAGATCTGAAGAGCTCCATCGGAAGTACATCACACAGTTGACTGGCGACAGTTATCCCCAAGGACCAGCGCTCAGACACGGGGTGTACCCCACGTGCTCATTGTGTTCGAATGCGGCGTTGTGGAGCTGCTGTGCGGACCAGAGGGTGGATAAGTACTTGAGGAAGCTGAACGATGGTAAGGGGAAAGGTTGCGGGCTGGTCCTCTGTGATTCATGCGCAGGACAAGTGAGAATGGACAGAGGGGTTTTGAAGAGGACGACGGTGCAGGAGGTCGACGGCTACGATTGTCGACGTGCTGATATGGAATTCCTCTTTGCAGGAAGCTTGCTTCACAAGGCGTGGGCTTGAGGGAGGTGGGCTCGATGCGACGAGCTATGAAGCAAAACCAGGAGGGATTTGGCGCCCCGCCGAGTGTTGTCAGGTTGTCAAGAGGGAGAATGCAGGATGAAGACACCCTTGGAGTACGAGTATAGGACAAGGATAGGGCGCTGAGTGGGAGGTGCTGAAGTGCATCCGTGTGTGTTGTTGCGGTCGGTTATCCTGGCTCAAGGATAATCTCGCTATCGATCGACCTTCGTTGGCAGCATAACACCGTTTCAAGTAGGCATGATATGTCCCTCGCTCATACTCAGGGCTCATTCTTTTTATTCTGCTTCATAACTGTTCCATTGTGTTGCTGCGAAGTAAAAAAGCTTCTTCGTTGCCGCCGATAAGGTGCCGCTGCGCTGCGATAAGGAATCATTGTCCCACTCGTAAAAAAAAGTGCCATTCCCAAAACACCAGCACCAGCACCAGCATCATCAAACTGGGAAGACAATCGGCCTGAGCTATCTTCCGTTCGCATCACATCATCTTCCTCTGCGCTTCTTCCCACCGATCGCCGCCATCTTCTGCCAAACAGGTTACAGTAACAAACACTTACCCTGTCGGCAACCGAATTTGACTGACTGCCTGGCCACTTGGGCTACCGCCCTTTCCACACCGAACTACCTACCTCCAAACGGATCGATAGCGGAGATCATGAGACTTTAAGAGCTTCAAAAGATGAGGACACTGTTGCTGCATGCTGCTCATTAGATTTATCCAGTCACCTCTGCTACGCTTTCCACAACAACGCCGTAAGCCCATTGCGGGCACAACTCACCGCTCCTCAAGTCAGCCATGAGTTTCGTTCAATCCAGTCCATTGGCTATGTTGAGCAGGAGTTCTTTGAATCGGGTGCTGCAGACTTCTGAAGTGAGTGGATGAAACTTTCTTTGCGTTTGGTCGAGTTTTCTCTTGAATCAGGCTCTGCATATTCTATCTCGTGGCCTCTGATGGGTGGAAACGCCATGTGATGGTCAACATTCCTCTATCCTCGAAGGAATACCTCCGACTTGACAGCCGAGGCAAGCTACCCCGTTGGAAGGGGGATGAGGCTCGACACTCTTAGGCCTGGGAATGTAGGCATCCGGTGAACCGACCATTACCTATGTGTCGCCCACCCACCGCTTTGGCTTTCTGCATGGAGTAAGCCGAGAAGAGAAGGTCCTGCTGTGGAGAAGGAAGCAGATCTGCAGACAATTTCCCCGCCGCTGAGAAGGGCATTCCTGAATTTTCCGAGCGGACATGATGCCCCGTGAACCAGCGAGCCAGCAACCAGAGAAAATTGTGTTGAGCCGAAGAAAATCCCAAAGGCCGCACAACGAACTTCACGTCCATCAAGCCATCACCACGCGACCAGCCGCCTTCCCCTGCGAGCTACCAATCTAGCCCGAATGAGACGTGGTCTGATTCTCGACAAGTTCCAGTTTGCACCTGCCTGTGACGGTTTTGGCGTGAGCGTTATTCTTGGTCTTGCCGGGGCATTCAATCAAAGATCCCTCCGTTAACGCGTGCGGCGAGCCCCGTAATCGACCTGCGGCAGAGATCTCACTTTATTTCTCGGAGCGAGATCCATCACCACCACCACAGATTCAACCATCTTTGATCCTCCCGGCCAACATATTGCTGAGATGGGCCAAGACGTGAGCACGCCCGCATTTTCCTCTTGAGACTTTCCCTGCGCTGAGGGCACGAGCCACGGGACAAACCTGCTTGCTCAACACATGCGACCTCTACCCCCTGGTCCTGCACCAACCGGAACGAATTTTTGCCTCAACCCAGCTTCTGCTTTGTGCCATTCACGTCGTTATTGAGTATGGGGTTTTGCATCCCTGAAAGCGATCGAGTATGACGTTGCTCATGCGCCATTTTGTTTTGTTCGGTTTGTGTGATTGGTTATACACCAACTGACATTGATGTAGTCCGAGGTCACTCAAATTGTGGTGGTTATGGTGGGCTTGCCAGCTCGAGGCAAGAGTCTGATCGCTGGCAAAGGTTTATCTAACCATCTCTAGTTTGGGCCTTGAGTGCTAACGTGGCTCAGTCAAGAGATATCTTCGATGGACGTCGGTCAACGCCGAGGTATTCAACGTCGGCAAATACAGGCGGACTGACAATCCCCATCCCGATGCCAAATTCTTCGATGTCAATAACGCCGAAGGCGAGAAAGCTCGCCGCGCCGCAGCTGAGGCCGCCGTGGCTGACATGCTTATGTGGTTCAAGGACAAGAACAATAAGGTTGCCATCCTTGACGCAACAAATTCCACCAAGTCGCGACGGAAATGGATTCACGACAAAATCGTGGAGGCCAACCTTCTTCATCTCTTCGTCGAAAGCAAATGCGACGATGAAGATCTCATCATGGCCAACATCCTCGAGGTCAAGACGACATCACCAGATTATATCGGCCAGGATCCAGAGGTGGCCGCCAAAGATTTCCGCAACCGTATCCGGAACTACGAGAAAGTCTACCAAACAATAGATGAATCAGAGAAACACCTCACCTACGTGAAAATCATTAATATTGGGGCACGTGTGGTGATCAACCTGATCCAGGACTACTTGCAATCGCGCCTTGTGTACTACCTCACCAATCTGCACATCAAGCCACGCAGCATTTGGCTATCTAGACATGGCGAGTCAGAATACAACCTCGAGGGCAAGATCGGTGGCGATGCCAACTTATCGGAGCGTGGTGAACGATATGCGAGGATGCTGCCCGAGCTCGTCAAGCGTTCTGGGCTGCCCAAGGATGCTCCTTTGACGATATGGACCTCGACTTTAAAGAGAACAAGCCAGACTGCACAACATCTACAGAAGGAACTTGGTTGGGAGAAATTACAATGGAAGGCGCTCGATGAGCTGGATAGTGGGGTTTGTGATGGGATGACGGTAAGCTGAATCTTTCCGACACCACATGCACCCTCCATCCATTCTTTCTTAGGCACTAATGAATCTCTTTCGTGTGTACAGTACCAGCAAATTGCCGAGAAGTACCCTGAGGACTTTCAAGCTCGCGATGACGACAAGTACAACTACCGGTATCGCGGAGGCGAGTCCTACCGTGATGTGGTTATCCGTCTGGAGCCCATCATCATGGAATTGGAACGAAGCGAGAATATCATTATCATCACGTACGTTCATCTTGGAGCACTTTCGGTCTGATTTTGCGATCAAACTGGCAATACCTTTCCTGTTTGTGCAAAGGCGCTCTTATGCTTCTTGTTTTTCCCCCCTTCCCTCCGAGAATCCCGTTATGCTGACAACTCTTGGGGGCGATACAGTCACCAGGCCATCGTGCGATGCATATTTGCGTACTTCATGGAAATCCCTCAGGAGAAATCGCCTTGGATGGAAGTACCATTACACACGCTGATGAAACTCACACCCAAGGCATACGGCACCGAGGTCGAGCGCTTCAAGGCCGACATCCCTGCCGTATCGACCTGGAGACCCAAGGGCAGCACGGCCAAGCACCATGACAGCGTCAGCGAGGGCGTGCCGGAGGACGTGGTCGGCGAGGCCAAGGGCAAGAACTTTGGCTCGCGCGACGGGACTGTCGTCAAGGAGCTCGATGCTGGCAGTAACCGGAGGGAGCTGACCGCGGGGGAGATTCCAAAGGTCACGATGACCGGATTGCCCTTGCCTTGAGACTTTTGCTGAGCTGTGGGAAATATGGTCTAATAAAGACGAAGACGCGGGATCCCCAGAGAAGCATCGCGAGGAACAGAAGAGGCACCGCGACGCGGAAACACGCTTGAAACCATGAGCCCGGGCAGGGAAATGAGGATGAGAAATCAGCGACGGGTCCTAGAGCCATTGGCACCGTCGCTTTGAGACAAGACGAATGAATATTATGCTCTAGAGAGAAGATATGATGTAGGCAGTCTAGTTCAAGTGCATACCTACGTAGCAGAATACCCCCACCACTCGTAGGGCAAGGGGAACACACCTCTAGCCAGTGTACTCTTCTCCAAACTATCTTGAACATCGTCTTATTTTTGATACTACAGCGCCTGCTGCTTCCTCGGTTATTGTTGTTGTTGTTTACTGAGGGCCCCTTGTCTCTCACACCGATACGTACCTGTTCCTCCTCGAGTGACGACTTCCCTACCTAGGTAGGCTGGATTTACTCATCCTACCGTATTCACTTTGCTTTCCTGCCAGATACGATACAATATACGACTTAAGTGACTAACCAACTCATTAAGAATGTGGATAGATGTCCTAGACTCAATCGATAGGTGGGTAGGTTGCGAGGTTGATAGGTGAGTAGATGGGCAGGTGGGTTGCTGAGTGCCGCAATAATATATTCCATCTATGTTTTCTATATAACATGACGTAGATGGAGGATCTTTCTAGACTAGAGACTGGAGACTGGAAACTGTAGACTGTAGATTTGTAACTCGTGACAAAGGCCACCCCTCGATTTCAGGTTAACGAAAAGAAGGCGGGAAAAACGGGGCTTGCTCGTTCAAGAATCAGGCTTGAAGGACGGATATAAATATGGACATGGACATGGGTCGATAGACGGATTGGGGCAGATTGTCGCTGTTAGCAGGCAAAGGGTTCCCCGACCGTGCCACTGTTGTAGGCGTCGACGATGAGTTTGATGGACACGTACGTTCCTGGGAAAGGTGGTGCGAGAATGTTAGCCGTCTACTTCTCCAGAGTTCTGCTCAACGAGAACAGCATGGAAATACGTACCGGCAACGCAGATGAAGGCGCCTGCGGCAAACGTCGCCGCGTTGATGGTTGCTTTGATTGGACTCCCGGTCCAGGCCCTCATTCCATAAACGCCCTTGACTCTCCCCTTATCCAGCCCGTGATAGGCATCGTACAACCAGAATGCACCGGCAATCCCATAGGTGTACCAACTCGCGAACAGACTCGCCGCGATACTCACGAGGTACGCGAATATGGGGACTCCCACCGCCAGCACAAACGCAGCGCCGTTGGCAAGGATGATGAGCGTGGTCCACGTGGTCCAGCCCAGGATTGTATGCTTGTGCAGATGATGTCGAGATTTGCGGAAGAAGCGAATGAAGAACAGCTTGGCAGCGGTGTGAGAGTACAAAGACCCTGCGATCAGGAAGTTGGGGAGAGCGATGCCGTATGTGGCTTTGGCCCATTTGGTGGGGAGGGATGAAAAGGCAGGCGACTGGACTGACGGCCCTAAATACACGTACATGACGATGGTGAATACGGTGTAGAACCTGAAGAGCATTCCGCCATCGACGGCTTACAGTCAGCCTCATATCCATCCCGAGTATGGCACGGCTCTTTACTCACGCAGTGGCAAAAACCTGCAACACCCACGCTGCCTTTTTGGCATCAGCCGGCCGCTTCATCTCCGAGATCAGGATGAAAAACATGAAATGCCCGGCGTACGCGAACACAGGATTCGTGATAGACACAAAGGCATTGTAGAAACTGGCCGAACGAGCGACATCGACGTGTCGATCGGGGGCGGGGTTCCCCCCAGCCGCGCCCATACCTACGACACCGGCAACCAAAATGCAGATGCATGATGGAATACAGAGCCAGGAGAGCTGGTCCAGTGTTCGAGGAAACGAGAGTATAAGGGTGGGAATTGCAAAGATTCCTGGTTTGTTAGCTAGTGATAATAGACAAGATCACGAACGCAGCAAAACACACCAGTATACCACATCAGACAGAGCTTGTTGTCCGATAATACCCCCAAGGCAATCTGTCCAGCAAGTAGCTGTGACCCAGTTGCGCAGACGGCGAAGATGACGGTACCAGCGGAGAGGATTTCGCGCAGCAACGGCCCACCAAGGATCCTCCCGGCATCACCCATATTGTGAACCTCCGGGTGGTTGATTTTGAAGTCTATCAGCACCAGAGAGGTGTAGAGCGCAAAGACCCCTGTTACGAGGTTGCAGTCAGATACGCGAGTTTCAGGCTTCACGATGCCCAGAGACCTCGGGCTATCTTACCAAGAAAGATGATCAGGACCACTCCTGGCACGATGCCGACCACCGCCGTCGCTGCTGGTAAGGAGAGCATGCCATTACTGACGATCTCAGCGATCATGAGAACGGCGACGAGAGGCCATGATAAGGTTTTGTATTTGATATCAGCACCTTCCTCGTTGCCAAAGACGTCTCGATCTAGTGCCGTCAGCAAGGCGCACACATTTCTTCTACCTAGTCCAGTGTAGAACGTACCATGGTAACCAGCGGGTGCGCCATCAACGAGATCTCGCGACCGAGCAGTGGACAGTCCTTCCGGCTCGATGATCTCGTCCGCCGGACCTCTGTACTCAAACTTCTTCTCGTAGCTCGACATTGCTCGACGCGCGATGATTCTATGGTGTCAGCTATTACTACTTCCGATGATAACGGTCGACTCTCCAGTGAGTCGTAGCTGTCATGACCACAGAATGGGCGGAGACGTCAAGCAGGCGATGTAAAGATTAAATGGCTGTAGTTGGCAAGGATATTACCGGCAACACTCATGTCGCCCACCGCATTATCTATCAAAACCCCTTCTGCCAGAAGAGGAAGGTGGAAAGGCATAGTGCGTAGCAGTCTCCTTGCAGGGGCAGGATTGGATAGCGATCATGATGACAGAGATGGTTGAGGTCAGGATACCAGGAGTTGATTGCAGGGGCCCGGAGTGGATCGGGAGTTGGCCGGTGCCAAGCCATAGAGACAGCCACTCCCTACCAGCCACTGGCCATGGAACGCTGACCTAAACAAGTCACACCAGCCACAGTGTCCTGATCTCCCATGCCATTTCGAAATCACATGCTGCCACTGCGCCCGTGAGCCAATCATCATCTGATCCGCAACCTCTTTCGTCATGCCCATTCCACCCAAGTGCCACCCTCCACACTCCCAGCTCGCCAGGTTGAAACCGGGAAGCAGCAGTGAGAGAAAGCTTTGGCTCCTTTGCTCCGTTCTCATCATTCACCTCTGTTGTCACCTTTGTGCGAAAATCCTTCTCTTGCGTCCGCCGCCCCTTCGAAGCTCACCGCCTGTCCTTCCTTGAGAGCTGCACTGTCATCCACGCGATTGGCAAGATGAGTTACGCCGATGTTGCTGCCAAAGGGCCCAAACAATCCCCAGAAGAGGTCAGTCAAGCTCCTATTCCCAACCACACCAGAATGCCTAGCTAATCCCTTTGTAGGCGTACGTTCCTGGCCATGCCTGCGAGCATATTTCCAATCCGCTAATGTGATATCAACTAGGCGTGCTCCACCTGTTCCCTCCCTCTCTCAGTCCGAGTCGGAAGTTGCAAGCTTGATCGACGTCGACTCGCCGCACGTCAGCTCAGTCAAATCGGATTTCCAAGAACAAGCCATCAAGACTGAGACGCAGGCCGAACGGATCGAGCACGAACTGGAGGACAAGGCTCGCGCAGCAAGGCAGGAATTCTCAGACAATGCCGCAAGTGCCAAGAAGAAAGCTGCTAGCAAGGGCAAGCAGTTCAAGGACGAGATGAAGAAGGATGGACAAAAGTTGAGCGAAAATAGGGACAATCCTGTTGTCGTTGGTAATGCCATCATCTGGGGCATTGCCACTATTGCTATTGGCTATGGAGCCTATCAGAAGCATACGGAGGGCAAATTGGACTGGCAGCTTGCTGGATCTGTGGCCGCTGGAGTAGGCGCTTTCGCTGTCGCGGATTATTTTGGCAGCAAGTAAGATTTACGCCTTCTCTGATCTTTGTTATTGGTAAACTGACACGCCTTCTAGGTGGCTCCTTGAGAACAAGTACCCTCCGAAATAGGCCACAACTGGCTCAGTTTGAACGACTCTCCCATGGCGGCGGTGGTGGAAGGAATTGTCTAGATTTCGGCGCGACTTCTCTACTCGATTGACGGTGGGGGCGGGCTTCTGGCGTGCAAGCCTTTGGGTGCCATATTTCTTTGGTCTCGCAAATATGATATCCTCTTTTTGATCTCCTCGCTGCAATTACTTCCTTCCACAGCTTTGTGTTTTGGCTTGATCGATGACGTTTCGGTAACCAACCCGACACCGCAAGGAATCTCCTGCTCCATTTCCCCTGGTGCTCTCATCGGTTGACAGATCTCTCGTCCGTGAGTCAGCCTGCGAAGGGCATGGCATGCTAATTCTGACCGCTTGCGACGAATAGACCGCTGATTGCAATGCAACCATGAACAGGGTGAAGAGGCGACAATGGCTATCATGAGCATGGACATCTAGATGAGGTTGGACTGAGGTATCGAAGATCGAGTCATGGTTGGTGACCGGATAGAGCAAACTGAGGAATCCATTGATAAAGTGCAGGACCAACACTGGGTTGCAGAAGATCATGGTGTACAGGAACGAAGGCTGTTGTTGGATTATGTCCCAGCCTGAGCGAGGCTCACTGGAGAAGGGCTGTTCTTTGTCGGATGCGCCGTTCATTGTTGCGACATAGGATTCGAATGTGAAGATGGTGCTCTGGATGGGCACTGTGGGTTGCGAACAACAATATCCGCTGTTGTTTTGGCGAAACGATGGCTGCGAGCACAGGAGTGAGACTGGCGCGGTGGACGAAGACAATTCTTTGGGGCTTCACAAGATGAAATTGATAACAGTGGGATATCCTCGTAATCAGTATAGGTGAATGAGGGGAGAAAATAGGTTCAGCCAAAGAAAATGTGCGGTTACTGCAATGGTCGACGGCAACGACTTCCTCACCCACCGGAGGCTGATTTACTTTCAGGTGACACTGCAACACGTCAAGGCAGTTGCGGCGTCACAGGAATCGCTTGAGCTGTATGGTTTGCTTGTGAGTGTCCTCAATATGGAGATTCTCAACAAGACCATAGTGACCATAGGCCTGGGAAATCGTAGGTGAATTGTACACCTGTATAGTCAGGTGGCCCATGTCTAGCATCTCTAACTACGTGTGCCAGCATAGTGATCAACGATGTGTTTTTCCCCTGTAGGAACAAGTTTTGTCATGGTTACCAGTTTGTGTCGTCAAAGTAGAGCGAATCATATGTGATTCGGCAGAATTTCGTATTTGATGCCCTTTTGGGGTTCCAGCGCAGCAGCAAAGCGCGCTGGAAGGACAAACTGTACTTTTGGTGCCCCCCATCAACAACATGAATTATTGGAGCACAAAGTCGAGACGGAATTTCTAGCATCTCTTGTAAAGTCCCTGTATTTCCTCCATCATAATCTGGTTTCGAAGCGTTTGCAAAATGGTAAGTCGATCCTCTGTCAGGTGTGCGGCTCAAGACATCTCGCTCACATGCTCCAGAATGTGCTATTCAACCAAGCCCTGAAACAGTCCACCGCTGTCAGAAAAGACCTAGAAACTTTCGCACAGGCACCGGCCACCGCATCTCCCGCTCTACAGGGACAGATATCCACGACCCTTACCAGTCTTTCACGAACCCTAGAGGACTACCAAAATCTCTCTCGAAATGAGCTGAACGAAGAGAAGAAAGAGAAGGCCTTGGAGAGACTCAAGAACTTTCGCGCAGATCTGGCGTCCTATCGTACACAATTCGATCAACTGAAAAGGGAACGTGAGGCAACCGTTGCTGTAAACAACAGGAATGAACTACTCGGTCGACGGCCGCACCATGCTGCAACCCCTGAGAATCCATATGCCCATGTCTCAAGTCAGAGCGCATTTGCTCCTGCCCACCGCAACACACAAGACGGATTGTCCTTCGGCGCGGGTTCCAGTGAGTATACTCGGGAGGAACACGCACTGCGAGAACAGAGCTTCTTTGATACTGCCAACGCCCAGCTCGATGAATTTTTGGATCGAGGCCGAGCTGTTCTGGGCGATCTGGGACACCAACGTGACATTCTCAAAGGTACACAGCGGAAGCTCTATAGTGTTGCCAATACTCTCGGAGTGAGCGGTGACACTATCCGGATGGTTGAGCGAAGAGCCATGCAAGACAAATGGATCTTTTGGGGAGGTGTTGTGGTGTTTTTCTCCTTCTGCTTCCTGGTCATCTACTTCTTGAGATAACCATATTGTTGTGGCAACTTCTCACGCCAGTTCGATTCTCCTCGATGCAACGCTCATCAAGTCATCCTGATAGCGGCGGCATGTGTTTCGGCCAAGCTGAGACGACCGAATAGCGGACGTGTGCTTGGATTACTGAAGCTTGGTCACGAACACATGGTAAAACCTGGGTCCCTCATACCACCTGCGGCATACAGCTACACCGGATTTATGAGCCAGCAAAGTGGCGAGAAGATGCCGATGCCTCGTCCGCTCTCAATTAGGAGGTATTGACCGAGTCGGAAATACTCCAAGTCCCCGTCTCGATCCCTAGGGCCGACGGCAGCAAACGGTGTCTCTCGAGACCGTGTCATGTTCCGTTGACACATGTTGGGCCCAACCTTGTCCGATATGAAGATGTGTCAGGATTACCGAGTCAGGGACCCATCCAGTTAGCAGATAACGCCCCTTCGTGTGTGGGATCTGGGCTTTGGCCACTACAGAAGGCTGCATTGGATTCGCGGCTGCAGGCGAACCTTCCCCGCATTTTCGAGTCAAGGCTCAACCCCAGTCAGGCGCGCATTGATTGCCTCGGAACAACCCACGGCGCCCGTGTCGCAGGCACTAGATCAGGTATTTATCGACTTGGAAGGTTTTTTTTGGCTGCTCCCATCGCTCCTCTTAAATTGCTGTCTTGCCTCCTTCGATACAAGTTTCCTCTTTCCACTTTGTTCGCCTTGAAGTGCCCTTTCAGAAACCAGATCGACTTCAAGTGATTTTCTTCTCGAGAGACCATCAACGTCAGCAAGATGGGAGGTGACATGCCGTGGCCGCAAGTCCCCGTGGGCAATAAGGACCACACTGAGGCAGCTGTGGTCATCATCGGCGCGGGGATTTCCGGCATGTGCACCGCTATTGACCTGATCAAAAGAAACAACTGCAGAAACTTTGTTATCCTTGAAAAGAGTGGCGGGCTTGGGGGCACATGGCGAGACAACAAGTACCCAGGATGCTGTTGTGATGGTAAGAACAACCCCCGTCGTGGACCTGCAGAATTCTAACAATGCGCGCAGTCTGGTCACATTTATATAGCTACTCCTTCGAGCAAAACCCGGACTGGACCAGAGAGTACCCTGGCCAGGAGGAAATCTTGCAGTATCTCATGGGGGTCGCACAAAAGTACGAGTTATACCGTTATGTACGCTTCAACACCGCCGTGGACTCAGCCAAGTGGGATGACGCAGAGAAAAAGTGGAAGACAACAGTGTCTGTACAGGGCGCCAAAGACGCCGAGTTTGGGAGTACATATACCATTACCTCTGACTTTCTAGTCTCTGCCGTGGGCCAGCTCAATGTGCCTAGAATGCCAGAAATACCAGGCCTTGACGACTTTCAGGGCAAACTCATGCACAGCGCCCGCTGGGACTGGAGCTACGATCTACGAGGCAAGAAAGTTGCCATTATTGGAAACGGTGCCACAGCCGCGCAGATCATTCCAGAGATTGTCAAAGAGGTTTCTCATCTTACCATCCACCAGAGGACTCCCAACTGGGTCATTCCTCGTCTCGACTCTACTATTCCAGCCTGGAAGAGAAGTGTGTACAAATATCTTCCCTTTGTCCGGTGGCGAAAGCGAGCCGACATGATGGATTTCCGGGAAGCATTCTATGCCGCCGTGTTTGATAACGCATCCACCACCGCACAATTTCTTGAGGCGCAGAGCAAAGATCATCTCCATGCTCAACTTCCAAATCGGCCCGACTTGTGGGAGAAGCTGCAGCCAAACTACTCGATTGGTTGCAAGCGCGTCATCATCAGCGATGACTACTTCCCCGTATTCCTCCGTGACAATGTTCGATTGGAAACCGGGAAAATTGACAAGATCACCGCCAACGGGATTGTCACTGATGGGAAAGAGGAGGATTACGACCTCATTATTCTCGCCACCGGCTTCCGCACAGTCGAGTTCATGCATCCCATCAACATCACAGGTAGCGCCGGGCGAACGTTGAGCGAGATCTGGAAGGAGGGTGGGCAAGCTCTGTATGGTGTGACTGTCGAGAGTCTGCCCAATTTCGGAATGCTGTATGGTCCCAACACGAATCTGGGACACAACAGCATCATCCTCATGATCGAGACGCAGAGCAAATACATCAACGCTCTGATCAAGCAGGTCATTGATGCCCGAAAGAATGGTGGCAGCCTGGTGATCGAGCCTAACCCGGCCAAAGTCAAAAAGTACAACGATGAAATCCAGTCGGAACTGGAAAGGAGCAGCTTCGCAGACCCCAACTGCAACAGCTGGTACAAGGTCAAGGATAGCGGCAAGATTACCAACAACTGGAGTCGCACAGTCGTGGACTATCAGAAGGTGAGATGCGATCCCAACCGTCCATGCCTAACTTTTCTAATGCTGACTTGCCGATAGCTTTTGAGCAATGTCGACTGGTCCGACTATGAACTCTCGGGGACTTTTGCAGATAAAGTGGCCAAGCAAAAACCCACGCACATTGGGCGAGTTGTTGAAGAGTCGCAGATCAGCTACCAAACCATGGCTCTGACGGCGCTGAGCTTAGCAGCGGTGGGCGCGGGCGTTGCTCTCCGGCACACGGGTAGGCTTCGGTTCTGAATACGGGATTCATGCACCTACACATTGGCTGGGGAAGATGGAGTTTGGAGGATTTCCGGAGAGATCTGTACATAGTAGTTGGTAGTCTGGCCTCGACGATCTTCTGCTGCAATATGAATATTTCGCGCTCCCTTTTTTGCTCTCCCTTGTCATTTGTGCGGCGGTCTGCAAAAGGGAAAAGTGAGCGTGGGGCTTCGATACGTACGAACAGGTAGTGATTGGCAAACCGAAATTTCGACATTCAGCGTGGGATGGGTCTCTTCATCGATCTCAGGAGAATTCGGGGTTCCTTGTGCCTCGCCCTTGTCCTTTCCTGGCAAGCCATGTGGTGCCTAGTTAGGGGGGACACTGGGCCACGTCCTATAGGCGAGAACCCCCTCAACAAGCATGATACTAGTACTTGTAGGGTACTTTGGCATGCCCAGTTAGACAGCATCGGGGGCCACCTTAGCCTAGTGAGCCGGGGCTATTAGCTGGACCTCTGTTACTGGCTACACACCCAGTGCTTTGGGGCCCTTCCGGAGCACTCTCCTCTCTTGTCTCTTTCTCAGTTCCCACGAACTTATCCTGCGTTGATTTTCTGGCACCCATAACAATCGACATCTACAAGCCCGCCCGATATATCATTCTGTAAAATCAACACCCATATCCTGCGATATTTATCGTCCGTCGTTCGACCTGATCCGCACCCCTGCATATTGGCCTGTTCGCCTCCGAACTCACGCGCCCATATACCGCATTTTACTCTCGACTCGCCCCAAAAAGCTACTTTCGACGGACCCTGTCCACGTTACGACTTCCATTTCCTCTAGATCCTCACAAGATGCCTTCTCCCTTCGGGTCTACCTTTGCCTCTGCCGCTGCTGCTAGCACGAATGGTGACAATTCTGGAAATAGAAGGGACAATACGGGATCAAGTGACTGGTAGGCCAACCGACTCGAGAATTTTTGAACATTGCGCACCACAAATCCATCTTCAGTTATCGCACCATCAATGCTCGAGTCATTCTATCTCTTGGAGTCCATCTCGCTCCGTCTGATTTCATGTGGAATTGGCGATTTTCATTGACCTTTCTGATCTCGTTGCAGGTCTAGAAGCCGTGTGAACGGCGCCCCGCAAACCTTTCGCAGAGTCTCTCAAGCAACCTCGCAGTCACAGACACAATCACAAGCTCGAGAAAGCGCAGGCGTAGCGTTGCCTACTGCCAATAACGGCGGCGTGTACATCCCTCCTCACCTCAATTCCACCAACCCTAGC